TGACTTTATTGATAAGGATGTGGCCAAGGAAGCATGCCAAAGGGTGCATGACCCTGCAGTACAGTATTAACATTTCTATAGCTTGCTGCACAACAGCATATGCATACCTAGAGCTTTACAATCTCCTAGGTGCCCTGCAAGACCATTGCCTTTATCTTGACACTATATGTCTCTGATGGTATGATGACTCTATGATATCTGTGAGTCAGCCGGGGGACTGGGACCTCCCTCCTTGGTGACTACTTAGGCAAGTAGTCATTTGATGGGCAAATATCCACCAGATAAGCATGTTGTGGAGTTTGTGTCATCAGGCCCCAAATCCTACAGCTACTTGCAGTCTGAAGGAAAATGTTGTTAAAGGTTAAAGGCATCACTCTAAATACAACAAAGAGAGGAAAAATCAATTTTGAGGCACTGAGGGATCTTGTGTTGGATTATGGTGTAAATCCAGACAGTGAGGACCCTAAAAAGACTGTGATAGAGCAGTGTTCTATCACCAGGAACAAGCAGAAGTGGGTAATAGAAAACAAGGCTCCTTTGGAAGATGCAGAAGGTGGTCTACGACAAAAGAGTACTAACTACAAGATTAAAAGCATCTTCTGATCATGGACATGCACTGAAAACATCCCTTTTCTGCTGTCCTGGAAGGGCTTAGAAACTGTGGGAAAAGTTATTTCATAAAAAGTCTTTTGGAGAATCACAGAATGGTTGAGTTGGAAGGGATACCTGAAGGTCACCTTGTCCAGCCATGCTTCTGAAGCACTGCCAACTAATGCAGGTTCCCCAGGACCATGACCAGATGGCTTTTGAATATCTCCAAGGAGGGAGAATCCACAACCTCTCTGGGCAACCCACACCAGTGCTCGGTCACACTCACCAGTAAGAAATTGTTTCCTGATGTTTCAGACAGCTTCCTGTGTTTCAGCCTGTGTCCGTTGCCTGTGGTCCTGTCACTGGGCACTGCTGAGAAGACCCTGTCTCTCTCTTCTTTGCAACCTCCCTTCTGGTATTTAGCTACATTGATAAGATCCACCCTGAGCACTCTCTTTTCTGTGCTGAACAGTTCCAGCTCTCTCAGCCTTTCCTTACAGGTGAGATGCTCCAGTTCATTCATCTTTATGTCCCTTCATTGGTTTCTCTCCAGTACTTCCATATCTTCCTTGTATTGGGGAGTCCAGAACTGGATCCAGTACTCCAAGTGTGACCTCACCACTGCTGACTAGAAGGGAACGATCACCTTCCTTGACCTTCTGGCAACATTCCTCCCAGTGCAGCCCAGAACACTGTTGGTTTTCTTTGAGGCAAGGGCACATTACTGGCTCATTGTCAACTTGGTGTCCAGCAGGATCACCCAGGTCTTTTTCTGTAAAGCTGCTTTACAGCTGGGCAGTCCCCAGCACATACTGGTGCATGGGTTTGTTCCTTGCCAGGTGCAGGACTTGGCCCTTGTATCCAAAGGGGGATGTGTGGGTACCTTGTTACCTTCCCACAGGCACTGCACCAAACCAGCTCCTTCCTCTTGTGGTTCTCAAGGTGCTCACATCAGTTGGGCAGTCTGTTGCAGTCACCTGCACCATCACCTCCTTGCACTGAAATCCCTCCTTTTTTTGGTACTGGTCATTTGGGAGCAGTGAGCCCAGGTACCTTCTGGGCACTGGCGGGTCCTCCAAGAACAGTGGCTGCTTTGTCCAGGGGATGTTCACTACCTGGGCAGATTTCAGCTGAGGGTCTGTGATTTACAGGGCCAACCTCAGCTCGCAGCCTTGACTGACAGAGGAGTACATTACTGCAGAATTAGATGCAGAGCAGTGAAGGCTCCTCTTTCCATTGTATGCAAAGTACCCACTAAAATAAGAAACACAGGAAAAGCTTCAGATTTGCCAGGAAACTGGAAAGAAAGAAAAGTGCTGCACAGGAGCAGCAGTTTCTGGTGCCAGGGCTGCTCCTTGGCACTTCTCTGCTCACCAGCTCCAAACATCAGGATTTTACCTCCCGCCCCTCAGTCCCTTTCCTTTTCACTGTGCCAACAGTGGCTGGGGAGTCCCAAGCCCTGCTCTTATGCCTTCCACAGGCGTAAAGCTGCACTGGAGTTGGGGCTGCAGATCTCCTCACTCCACCACCCCAACAGCCTGCCCTACCCCAGCCAGCACTGAGCCAATCCATCAGAATCAGGATTACATCCTCCTATTCTAGGAATTTGTATGTTCACCCATTAAAACACCTTTTTTTCCCCCTTATCAGCTTCCTACCCATCTTTGAGCCTTCATGCACAGAGAAATACTGAACAGCTGCTTCCAAAATAACAGACGCTAAAGTAAGAGAAACCTGAAATCTTTTGAAAAGAACACTACACCTGTGTTTCCCAGAGCCCTGAACGTTACGAGGAGCCGTTGTGCTTTCAAAAGCCTTCCCACCAACAAAGAGCATACAAATGCAGATACACTCTACAGCGAGAGAGAGATGTTCCCTCACAGAGTAAATCTTACAAAGGGAGAGGGAAACCCAGGGAAAAGTGCAGAAAGCCACTGCTACTGTCCACTCCCTGCTGTGAAGAAAGGAAAGGCAAAATGAGAACAAGCCTCATTCTTACCCTCCTCACCCCAGAGGTGTGACTATGTCACACATGCTTTGGCACACTGCAGGATGCAGTCATTTCATTGTGCTGCCAAGAGTGCTTTGTTCTGTAGTGTGCTGAGAGTCTCCTGAGGGACAGGGATTCTGGAGCTGGGAAAAATGATCTTCACCATGGCTGTGCCAGCATGTGTTCTGCTAATCCAGTCAGGTAGGTGTATTTGTGCGCTTCCTATTGTCTCCCACAGTTTTTAGTAGGTTACGCGGAGGTCTGTGCTGACAAGAGGATGAGGTCAGGGAGAAATGCAGAGGGGTAATGGAAGTAGGTACCTGAACTTTCCTTTTCTTTGGAAACACAGAATAGTTTGGGGCAAACACAGCCTTAAACACAGAGCAAGTGAGAGAAGGAAGCAAGCTGCTCTGCAGACACATTTCTGCCTGTGTTGCAGGTCTTGTTGGAGGTGTCCCCCAGAAGCAGTTCTTCTCTGAGGTTACAGCCACAGTTGGGCAGCGAGTGGTTCTGCCCTGCCAGTCCACCACTGAGGACAGTGACAGCACTTTGAATTTCTTCTGGTTCCGTCAGCTCCCGGGGAAAACCTTGAAACTTCTCCTGCAAGCGTTTACAGCTTCAGGGAACGACAAGTTCCGCAATGGCCAATTCTCAGTGGTGGTCTACAAAAATAAAACAGCCCCCTTAGAAATAGCAACTGTCTCTTTCCAAGACACTGCAATTTATTACTGTGCTCTGAATCACCACGTTGAGCTAAGCCCCATTTCCGCTCGTGCAAAATCTGCATCACCAAGAACAGCACAGGAGGGGTGAGGCTCTGCATCTTCCAGTCTTGGCAATGCTTTCATCCCCGAAATGATCCTCTCCTTCTTCTATCAACCTTTCCAACATCTCTTATCCCAACTCCTCCCTACTTTTCTCAAAAACCCCATCTATGCAGAGGTATTCAGACCAGGGACTTAGAAACGCAGGACCATGGGACTTTGCAGAAGCCAAGACACTCAGCTTTCCTCAGTTCCTCATACAGAAACCAACACCCTTCAAGGAAACAATCAACAACCCTGAACATAACCTCCAGTTGCAGCACCAATCCTTACCTGCTCTTGATTCCTCCGGGAGTTGACGCTGCAGAACCAGTGCTGCTGGGGTGACAGTGTCCTGGACAAGGTCTTGACCCAGCTGTGGGCAGAGCTGTGGGATCCGTGTCTCTGCTTTGCTCCTGGCCAGCCCTAGCTCTCGACACAGCTACCCGATGGACCACAGACCCTCATCTTGCTCCTCTTTGCAGAGCAGCCAAGGAGCAGGAAAGCAGATTTTACCTTAGTGCCTCAGAACTAGGCAGGGTATCCATCTCTGTGCTGCATATGGTTAAATGATGAGATCCTCCCACACCCCATTCAGCATAAAGTCAACTTCTCTGGAAAATACTAATAAAGAGAAGAGCTAAAGAAAGTGCAGTAAAACTAAGAAATACCTAAGCGACCAATAACACTGCAGCCCATGAGGCAAGAGGCTCTACATATTAATAAAGGGTACCCCCTAACACTGCTCTGAGATCATTAAATAATGAAGCTTGATAAAGACGAAGATGAATAAGATGAAGATGAAGATGATGATCATGGTGGTGGTGGTGGGATTCCCCTGGGGTGAAGTTCACTATTTGGTAGCACTGGGGACCCAAAGGCAATTTGTTTTAGGCAGCCCAGAGCCCGGGCAGGACTCAGGTTGCCCTGTTCTCCCCATAGAACAGGCCAGGGAGCCTCCTGCAGCCAAATAGGTTCTGTTGCCCACAAGAGGTTTTCCCACCAGGACAACCATAACTGCAGTACATTGGCCATCAACACAATGGATCTGAAGGACACCTTCTTGTGTCCTAGCAGGAATGACAGAAAAAGACATCCAAGGGTAGCCTGGCAATTTCATCTACTTTCTCTTTACCACCTCTCAGCTCTTGAGTTCAGGGTTGGCACAGGCCAAACCAGTGCCAAGGGAGTAACAGGGTTCTGACTGGAGCATAGAGTGGGGTGAAGCTGAAGCAGGCAGGGATGAAAAGCATACAGGCAGGACAAATATGGGGAAAGGTAGGGGTAGCTAAAATGGAGCAGTTCTGGCTATGTGGACTCCCATGTCTGTGGGATTATTTGCTGTACTGGAAAGGATGACAAGGAGACTCAATTGCTGAGGGCCCAAGCAGATCCCTGCAGCTCCCGTAACCTCCATACCAGCATCTCCTACTACCCACCTCTGCTGTTTCCTCAACATGGAAGGCACAGCGGACATAGCCCACGGTCACCGGTCACACACAGGACAGCCATCCAGCCCAAAAGGAAACAAGGGCAAGAATAGGATAGCTTGGCCCTGCCTTCCCTGCACCATCCCTTCATATGTTTGTATACTCTGATTAAAACCCCCCAGAGCCTTCTCTTCTCCAGGGTAAACAGTCCCAGCTCTCTCAGCCTTTCCTCATGTAAGAGCTGCTCCAGTCCCACCATCACCTTCGTGGCCCTCCACTCACCTCTCTCCCGTATGCCCTAGTCTCTCCTGCAGTGGGGAGCCAAGAAGTGAAGCTAGTACTCCAGGCATAACCTCGCCAGTGTTGAGTAGAGGGGAAGGATCACCTCCCCGACCTGCTGGCAATGCTTTGGCTAACGCAGGCCCGGATACCGCGAACCGTCTTTGCCGCAAGGGCAAATTTCTGGTCAAGATGTCGTCCAGCAGACCGCCTGGGTCCTTTTCTGCGAAGGCGGTTTCCATCGGAGCAGCCCCCAGCCTGCCCTGGTGCACGGGGCCGCTCCTCCCCAGGCGCAGCACTTTGCTCTTGCCCGGTGGCACCGGAGGGGGGTCCTGTCAGCCCACTTCTCCGGGCTGTCGAGGGCCCTGCGGATGGCAGCAGAGCCCTCCGCGTGTCTCGGTCCCCGCGGGCGGGGAATGGATGGGAGCGAGGCCAGGGCGGGCTGGGGGTGCGGGG